TTTGGGCGGTGTAGGGGTGCTAATCCTTCCCTAAACGTAACCGACCACGAATCCCTTTTTATTATTAAAAAGAACGAATTTTTGGTTATAAATGCAGATCAGTTCATTTTTTAATTGATTTTTTCTTAAAACTCTTTTAAAAAATAATTTTTAGGTATTCGACCTACCTGACCCAAAAGGCCGATGGCGACTCCCAAATTATTTTCAAAACCATTTACTCACATCAATTTTCCCGCCAAGTATAATATTTCGTGCTCGGACGAAAACCGGTTACGACATCACGATTAATGAAAGCTGTCCTTGCTGTGATGGTTGCTTGATCATATTTTCCCCAAGTGCTCTATTATTCTCCCCATTTGGACGCTGCTCCTTAAAGATGAAAAGGTTGAGGAATTTATGACGATGGAGATCAAGAATTGGATCTGTGTCAATCTAAGTAAAGCTTGTTATGGAAATTCTATTGGGATTTTATTTATTTAAAATAATTAATACATATTATTTAACATATTTACGAAAATATCACTATATACATGTATATGATTTAGGGTTTCTACCGCCCAAATGCTTATTCTCTCCCCATTTCATATTTTATATATAAGCAAACGATCAAATGTATGTAACTCGGAATCAAAGAGTTTCATCCAAGAGTTGGAATGTAAATTCAATATATTTTAGTAGGCAAACACAAAAGATAAGTGCCAGTTCAGCTAATGATATCTTTCCATTCAGACAAGTAGATGGCATCTATAATCGAATATGAGAATCAGATCGGAAAGTGTCCGTCGAAAGCAGATGCGGATAAAAGAGTTTGCTCACCGGCCATTTGGCTCGCCAACCCTGGCTCTGCACCCCATTTGTTCGATAAACTTGGTGAGATGGGAATGCTTCGCACCCCATTTCTCAGCTAATTTTTGCTCCTTTGCTTCGGCATCTCTCCTTAGCCCGTCTAGTTGATCCCTATATTCAGCTTCCATCATATCAAGAGCGGTCTTCTGCTCTTCCCTTAGAGCCTCGATCTTCGACTCTATTCCTTCCATCTTGTTCCTTCTGCGGCGTGCTTTCTCGGATTCCAGTTGTAACTATACCCTTCTTAACCTCCAGGCTGCTTCCTTTTTATGTGCAGCCCAAGCACGGTGCCCTTCTTCCAGCTCCCTACAGCAGTCCACCAGTTCGGATATCACCAGGTTCTCATTACAAGGAGGAAATAATCCATGGAGTACCATATTTCCCATAAGGGGGGCTAGTTTCCGACATTCTCTCGGGTTGCAGCCACGGGATTCGGGGAGCAGCCGGCACTGTCAAGGGGGATAAACTTAACGTCACAGAGGGGGAAGGTGGCCTGACAACTGAGGTATTGCTGGAATTAGACGAAAGCCAAGGTGGAAGTAAAGCTGGTGCAGGTGAAGGCGGGTGGGTAGGAAGGAAACCCCTTTGGAAGCAGCAATGGGAAAGGTTAAGCTATGCCTCCGTTTCACTAGTTACTCGGCAAAGGTTTCTAATATCCTATCGTACTTGCCGTCCTCAACCGCTTATGTTTCTCCTTGTGTTCCCTTTGTTGCTTCTCTTTAAATACCTCCCACCACTTTCCCAGTCTTTTAGCAGTTCTGCGAGGGACTTCAGCAGCAATTTTCTTCCATTTCTACCCGTGTTTGGCTTGAAGACGGATCACCAGACGCTGCTCCTCTTCCGCTAGGGATCCCTTCTTAGGGATGGCCATGGGTCGGGTTTCGGCCAACCCGACCCGATCTGAAAAATATATATCTTTCATCCAATTCGAACCAACCCAATTTTTTGTGATAAAATCCGAACTCGATCCGACCCGACCAAAATAATAAAAAATATTATTTTTATTTAATAAAAATAGTGATTTAATTGAAAAAATAATATATATAGAGGGGTATTATTGTAATTATTCTTAAATATATGAGGTAAATTTATATTTTTCCCTAGGTCGGGTCGAGTAGGGTATTTTTCACCCTAAACCCGAATTCGATCTGACCCGAACATCACCTTTAAAAAAACTCGACCCGAACTCGAATTAAAAAATGACCCGACCCGATATGGTCGGATCTGGTCGAAACTCGTTGGGATCGGGTCCTATGCCCATCCCTAAATGTAATATATGTTTTGATATTTTCTTAGCCTAGACAATCTACATCTGTAAATATAACTGTTCGAACTCAAAATCTCTAAATAAAATAATTCTCTTATTTATCATTGAGATCAATTAATAAATTCATAATCATCTCATATATATATATATATATATATATATATATCGTCAATTATATTATTTTATCTTTTAATTAATTAATTATTACAAGAAAATCTTCTTTCCATTAGTAATTATTTTATTAGTGAAGAAAATTTAAAGTTTTGGATATTATTATTATTATTACCCATCCTCGAACCAACAAAATAAGGTGACATGTACGTTAATGTACAAAGAAATCATTTTATGATTCTTTCCCTTGTGATCAAAGAATTGATTTAAATGATTGTATAATTTGCTTAGGGATTACACAAATTTCGTCACTTTTTTTTTACTCTTTCGGTTCTAAGGTTTTACTTTAATTAATTTAGACCGACCCACGTGACACACATAATTTTGGTGAGTGAACTTTCCGATATGAATTTTTTGTATACACTAGAACTCGAACTCGAAATATTGCTTAAGTGATATCAATCTACTTACTACTTAAAAATATCAGTAGTTTCGTCTCTTTTTTTTTTACGAGCTTCCAATTCAACGGCTAGGAGAAGGTTGATAGCATTGCAGATTAAGTTCTATGTGTTTGACATTATAAGAAAGCCTTAACATTTATAAATATATAACGAGGCTTATTTACAGTTGATTAACTTAGGATAAAGTACACAAATGGTCCCTTAATTATAGGATATTATTTCATTGAGACTTTCGAGTATTAAAAGTTACAAAATGATCACTTGATTATTCACATATCACAAGTTCATCTTTTTTTTGTTAGAAAAATTGACAACCACTTGAATTGGATATTAATATGCTGACCAATTGAATAGATGACTAAAGTGAGAGATTTTTATCTGTTTTAATTAGTGACGTGTTTATCGATAGTCTATTAAAAAAATTTAAATCCTAATATATTTTAGATTATAATTTTATTTTTTATTTATAAATTATTTTTATACCTCTACAATTTTATAAATTTATCCCTAAAATACTTTAAGTTTGTCTCTTACACCAAAATATTGTTATAGAAATACCAAAAATACAAAACAAAGGAACTTTGGTTATTTCAGAAGGGCCTGGTTGCCCTACTTTATTTGTGAACCATGGGCTCCATTGCCTGCTTGAAGATAACGGGTTGAGTAATTAAAGGGAAAATGTGCTAAAACATCGTTAAAACATATAAATTTATATCAATATCTTAATTGTAAAATTAAATAAAATATATTAAATCAGATTTAAAACTACCTAAGATTTATTCAGGTTGGCAGGGAGAGAGCTACCTTATATATTCGATACAATTTTAGTTTAATAGTATTTTGATTCATATAAAAATAAATATTTAAATTTAAAAAATATAAATATTTATTAAATATTTAATCAAATAGGGGTCAAACTAAAGAATGATAAGTACGTATTCTCAAATTTTTGGTCTAATTACAATTTAAGTCATTGTAAGTTTAAATATTAGACAAATTAGAAATTGTCTTTTGAGTTTAGAGTTTAGAGTTTTTTTTAAAAGAAATTTAGAGTGAATACAAGGTAATATCTATACAAAGACTTTCAACTATTTGACAATGAACGCTCATACCTCTACATACGTGCTTGTACTCAGGACCTCAAGGATAACAACAATCCCTTAATCACTAAGGTCGCTTGATTCATGCTGAATTTCGAGTTTAAATACCTAATAAATCTTTATATTTTTCTTAAATAGTCTAATATTTCGGCCTTGCTAATATTTATTTATAACTCCGTCCCTGCAAGTTGGGATATATATTTTTACACCATATGTTTGTATTGACTGAGATGAGTTGTTCTAATTTAATTAAGATTTAAAAAGTAATAAATGAAATATATAAATATTTTTTTATGTTTTAGTGATATTGTGCAATTAATATAATTAATATTTATTCAAGATGTAAAATGAGAAAAATTATTACTATTTGTAATTAATTTTTTTGGGTCAAATTTTCTAGAAGGCCATTTCAAATTTCTATGCTATCGGACCCAACCTTTCAAATTTTATATAATTCTTTTTATCTTTTGTGAATAAATAAATGCTTCGTGAGGTTGATTATTTTGAAGTTGGAAGCCGCCTCATTGGATTTTCATTTCCAGAAAAATCTTATACTTTGACTTGAAAAATCAAAATACAGACCGCCCCACCTTCTCGGCTAGTCTTCGTTGATTCAATCATTTACTATATAATATAAGGTAAACTATTTTAATAGTCGCCTAATATTGTGTAAGTTTTATTTAAACCATTGATCCATTATTTTACTCATTTAAATTATTTAAATAACATCAATTAGCACGAACCGGTTTATCTCAATGGCACGAATCAATTTATCTCGGTAGTTAAAAGAATCATTGTTGTTCCTAAAGGTCATGAGTTCGAGCACCAGCGTGATTGATCATTTATTGTCAAATGGATGAGAGTATTCAGAACATATACTACTTTGTAATCACCTTAGCTTAATAAAAAAAATAACATCAATTAAATTATATAATTAATAATTAAAAAAATATTTAATGTGATAATTACATAAATTTAAATAATTAAATGATTTAATTAACAAAATAATAGATCAGTGGTTAAATTAAAACCTACCCGTAGTTAAGTGACTATTCATGTAGTTTACCCAAAAATATATTCATTCTTAATTAATCCCAAACAAAAATCTTACACAAATAAAAGTCCCTTTATTTATGTAGTCTCTTCTTCTTCTTCGTCTTCTTCAGAGTTTCGCTTTAAGAAAAAGCTTTGGTTTCTTCTTCCTTTTGCTGAAAGAATTGAGAGATGGCACAGAATGATCCGAAACAAAGTGGCGGTGGTTTCTTTTCGTCGATCGCTAACAGTTTGTCCAATTTTGGTAGCGCCATGAGTAAATCAGTCAACGGGTATTAACATCCATCTTTACTTTCATTTTTGTTCGATTTCCTTTTTTGAAATTCAGTTAATTGGTTCAACCTCTTTGTGAATGCTACTTTTAGTTCCATTTCAAATTTGTTATTGGTTGCAGTTGCATATAAAATATAGTTTTAAAACTAACGCTTTGTATCAGATCTGTGATTGCCTTTTAGGAACTGATTAGAGAGTTTAGATTGAATGAACTAACTTCAATATTTTAATAAAGGATTTCTTTTCAACTCATTGGAAATTCACTGTTTTTTTCATGTTTATATAGTTTATTAGGATATGAAGGACTGGAGGTCATTAATCCAGAAGGCGGGACTGAAGATGCCGAAGACGAAGCAAGGAGAGGAAGATGGAAACAGGAGGTAATCCTTAATTTTCCTCATTTTCGTATGAATTGAAGAGAATAAGGAATGAAAGCGCTTATCATGGTGGTGCCAGCTTCTGTCATATGCATTTGGATCATGATTATCTTTACATCGCGAAGGAAATAAAATAAAACTAGCCGAACCTGGAACATGTGAAACATTTGAATGTTGCTCTGAGTGCGACACGACAAGAAAACTCAGTTTGTGTATTGCTGGCATACAGTTAGCATCTTATTAACTTGTATGAGCATCTAAACTTTGCTTTCTCTTGTTTAACAGGACAGGGACAGTTATTGGAGAATGATGCAGAAGTATATAGGATCTGATGTCACCTCAATGGTGACACTTCCAGTACTTATTTTTGAGCCTATGTCGATGTTGCAGAAAATGGCTGAGGTTTGTGTTTTTCGTATACAAACTTGATTGCTGTGTAGTTATTACTATGTTTGATTTTTTTGATTTCATTGTCTATGACAGTTGATGGAGTACTCCTACCTGCTAGATATGGCTGATGAATGCGAGGATCCCTACATGCGAATGGTTTACTCCAGTAAGATTTGTTCTAACTTCTCTTTTTTCCTTTCTCTCTAAGTTCTGTAGGTGTACTAATTAGTAGCTAATTCCAGCATCATGGGCCATATCAGTCTACTATGCTTATCAACGTACCTGGAAACCATTCAATCCTATACTTGGCGAGACTTATGAAATGGTTAATCATGGTGGCATTACTTTTATAGCTGAACAGGTAAGGATTTTAGAACTAAGTCTTGGTTCTTGTTCTTTTAGTCTTTTCATTTTGATGCATTTTGCAGTTTTGCTATTGTTTCTGACATTTCTCAATGGCTGAGATTATCAGATCCTTATTAAATATTTTCCCTTGCAGGTTAGTCATCACCCTCCAATGAGCGCTGGCCATGCTGAAAATGAGCATTTCATTTATGATATTTCTTCGAAAGTCAAAACCAAATTTTTGGGGAACTCAGTTGACATCTATCCGCTTGGAAGGTAAAACATGTTCTCTTTCATAACTTGTTGCTTAACAAGATACAATCTTCCTCTTCCTCCCTCCATTTTTTCTTTTTGCAATTTTAAGAACTTTTTATGTGCATTCTGCTGCTGTCTGACATTGTGGCTGTCATACATAAACTCGAATGGGATCTTAATCTTCTAGGGCTCTTCTCATATGATAAAATTGGAGCCAATTGGATTATCCTTTTGTAGTATTTTATATCAGTGAGAGTCATAAATGATGTTTTTAAAGTTTGGAGTTAGTACTCTTGCATCTATTATGATATAATTTTATCTGCAGGACTCGTGTGACCCTGAAAAGAGATGGCGTTGTTATTGACTTGGTGCCTCCTCCCACAAAAGTAAACAATCTAATATTTGGACGAACTTGGGTGGACACACTTGGGGAGATGATCATGACAAACCTGACAACAGGCGACAAAGCTGTTTTATATTTTCAACCATGTGGTTGGTTCGGGTATGGTTTTAGTTTTATTGTGAGAAATTCCTCCCGTTTCACCTCAGCTGTATCTTTGGGCATCAATTTCTAAGTATTTAATTTATACCATCTGGTTATGTCACACAATTTAAAATTCTTTCTTGGTTGTTCACAGAGCTGGGCGATATGAGATTGATGGATATGTGTATAATGCTGCTGAGGAGCCAAAGATTTTGATGACTGGGAAATGGAATGAATCCATGAGTTATCAACCTTGTGACAGTGACGGCGAACCGCTTCCTGGAACTGAACTAAAGGAGGTTGGTCTTTTTCAACACATTAGTTGTTTGCATATTTCATATTCTCATAATCACACCCCTAGCCTTTTTCATGCTTCTATTCTGGAATTCACTTTCCCTGCCAGAACTTTACTGAAGAATGAAAAGAACAATATGCTTTTTACATGTGATTCTTGACCAGAAAGCATGTTATTGATTCTGCGCCTTCCCCAAGTGATTAAATTTGATTTTCAAAACAAATTTGCTGTCAAAATGGTGAAAAACACACTTTTTCCGATCACAGTGTGAAGTATCACACCTTTCCTGAATCCAATAGCTTTCCACATGCCAAATAAACAATGCCACAGTGATGACATGAGAACCCTGATATTGAACTCCTTGTCGTTGCTCTTATGCAGTTATGGCGAGTTGCTGATGCTCCCAAAAACGATAAATTCCAATACACATATTTTGCACATAAGATTAACAGCTTTGATACTGCTCCCAAGAAGCTATTAGCATCCGATTCTCGTTTACGCCCGGACAGATATGCACTAGAGCAGGGTGACCTCTCTAAAGCTGGTTTTGAAAAGAGCAGGTCTGTTTCCCACTCAAACTATATTTCGAAGTTTTCTGTTCTCTTCAATGCATTGTTTTGATGGTGAACTAATGTCGTCAAAACTCTTTATGTTGGGTCAGTTTGGAGGAAAGACAGAGAGCTGAAAAGAAAAACAGGGAAGAAAAGGGTCATAAATTTGCTCCAAAATGGTTTGACTTCACCGACGAAGTCGCTGCTACTCCTTGGGGTGCCTTGGAAGTGTATCAATACAATGGCAAGTACTCAGAACACCGGGCTGCCATCGATAGCTCAAGTAGCAGCAGCGATGGAATCGCTGTTAAGTCAACTGAATTCAATCCATGGCAGTACGAAGACTTAGTTGCTAGTTAAAGCCTATGCGTCCTCGCATTTGCAAACGCATTGCCTGCATAGTATAATTTATAAATGTATTCTTTCTCTTTCTTTTATAGTCGGTTTTGTATTGGCTAGAGCTAGTTGTATAACATAATGTTTATGGTACTTACCTTTCCCCTGATTATATTGTTTTATTACTTTTAGATTCACGATTTTAGCACTTGTTTTTCATTTATATACTCGAATGGTTTAGAACTATAAAAAGTAAACTTCTCAATTCTCCACAAGAATAAAATTTATAAGGGTAAAGTACACAAATGGTTCTCTGACTATAGGATGTATGTTGTTTTGTTGAGTTCTTCGACTATTTAAAATTATAAAATAGTACCTTGATTATAGATAATTGTTTTGTTTAGTCCATCGATTATTAAAAATTAAAAGGTTAACGATAATCTGAGTTGGATATTCACTTGATGGTTAAGATATGATAAAATTTGATCGCATTGCTTATCTGAGTTATTGACTTTCCAGCAGTGAGGCCACTAAAAACAGACATTCAGGGCAAACACTTCTCCATTGCATTGCTTATACATTGATTCACCTTAATCTAACAGCTTTAAAGCCATATGTTTGGGTCCCTGCTTCTTTTGGAATTACATAATCAAACAACAATCATATGTCTGTAACTGAGATGAATATCTAAACATATGTGTTATGGTATACCACCCTAGGGCGGAACTAGGATGAAATTATGGGAGGGGTCAAGTTGCTTATCTTTGAAATTAACAAGGTTCTTAAAGGTAATTAAACCACAAAAAAATAGATGATTAGGGCTTAATTTCACTAATTTTAAAATTGTCATGTCCTAAAAAGTAATTGAACAAAAAAAAGGTTAAGAGGTATACTTAATTTCATTTATTTAACTTTAAAAATGGTAATGTCTAAAAAAATAATTAAACCAAAAAAAATTGGGAGAGATCATAACTTAATTTTAATGATTTTAAACTTTTCAAGGGCTTAACATAAATTAAACCATAAAATTTGAGGTGGGCTATGTCCCCCACGTGGTTCTACCACTGATATCATCAACAATTGGTTGATCTACTGGAATGAGACACTAAATACTTTAAGTAAGATCAATGGTTCGAATTCCGACATTGTAAATAGAGTAAATCAAGTTGTCACCTCATATGGACCTCTATATACTCGATTATAATTAACCGATCAATAAATCATATATCAATAAATCATATATCAACTATTAAAAGTTATAAACTGATCATTTGATTATATGGTACCGTTTTGTTGTATCACGAGTATTACAAGTTATAAAATTATCACTTCACTATTTTTTTTGGATAAGTAAAATTTTATTATCCAAATAGGAGTTCAGTACAAAACATCCAAAACAAGGATCAAAGACATGTTATTTACAACAAAAAATAGTTAGCCTATACCCCAATTGTTACAAAGAAGCATATTCACATTATCAAGTCTATTAAGATCTCTATTTCTAAGTTGAGTACCAATAGTGTTCTTAATGGAACTAAGCAAATCTTCAATGGTTAAAACCCTTGGAATAGTCGTCTATTTCTTTCCTCCCAAACAATGTAAATGAAAGGCACACCAAGCAATCTTCATGATGGAAGTAAGGAGAGATTTACCTTTCCAAGTCGAAGAAGCCCAAGCAAGCATGTTATCCCATGACATATGAGATTTAGCCAATTGAGAGAGATTTAAAATTCCTTTCCATAGAGTAGCACCCATAGCACAATCAACAAACAAATGATTTCTCGTTTCAAGGGAATCATTGTATAAAATACAAGAACCAACTGTGGTAATTCCCATACGAATAAGTCTCTCCCTAGTTGGGAGTCTATCAAGGATTGCTAACCAATAAATAATGTTGAATTTTGGGATGTGAAGGGGAAACCAAATAATTTTGTGCCAAGGTACCTTGTCATGTTTGATTCACATCTCTTTCCAAATACCTTTAGAATTCCTTACTCATGCATTAAGAATGGTGAGGGCCTCTGTTTTCAGTTTTAAAAGTCTTTTAAAGCTATAGCTGGAGGAAACACTTTCGGACATCAGTCTAAAATCTTTAGATTTAATCACATAGTTATAAATCCATGCAATCCATAAGGAGCCTTCACCATCAAGAAGATTTCGAATGAGCTGCATCATGCACACCTTATTCCAAGATTTTAAATCCTTTAATCCTAGCCCTCCTTCGGATTTAGGACAACAAATATTTCCCCAGCTTACTCTTGTACCAGTGGCTGCAGTGTCAGAGCCTTTCCATAAGAAACATGAGCATAGCTGGTTAATCATATTAATAACAGCTTGAGGAAGAAGAAATTCTCTACACCAAAAGTTAGCAATACTTTGAAGGACAATTTTAACAAGTTCTAACCTTCCAGTGTAACTTAGGTACTTCCCAGACCATTGATGAATTCTTAATCTGATCTTGTCAATAAGAGGAGTACAATAATTAGCAGTGAGTTTTCTGGTGACAAGCAGAACCCCACTATATATCACTAGAAGGTGACCATACTTGAAACTAGTAGAAAGATTAATGATTTCAAGGTTTCTAAGAGATATACCAGCAACAAAAAGTTATGATTTGGCCACATTAAGTTGAAGCCCTGATATTTCATAAAACTAATTCAGAACAGTAGTAACTCCAGTAACCGATTCTAAGTTTCCTTTACAGAAAATTAGAAGGTCATCCGCAAAAGTAAGATGAGTGAGACCAATTTTTTTGCATTTTGGGTGATACCCGAAAATACCTATAGCAACAGCAAGATTAAGGAGTTTAGAAAAGATGTTCATAGCTAGAACAAATAGGATGGGTGATAAAGGGACCTCTTTCTCCTTTGAAATAACCAATCAAAGATCCATTGAAAGAAATGGAATATCTAGCTTCAGTGAAGCAAGCTTCAATCCAAACAATGAATTTAGGTGGCAAATCAATGGCCTTAAGAATTAAAGAGATGAATCCCCAGTAAAGAGAATCAAATGCTTTTTGAAGGTCTATCTTGATAGCACACCTTGGAGAAATTGATTTCCTTCCATAGCCTTTAACAAGTTCTTGTGCTAGAAGAGTATTGTCAATTATATTTCTACCTTTGACAAAGGCTGATTGGTTGAGGGTTATAATTTCAAGCAGCAGGTTGATCAACCTTTTGACATGAATCTTGGTAATTTATTTATAAACCATTGAGCAGCAAGAGATATGTTTATAGTCTTTTACCTTGATAGGATTAGTGATCTTTGGAACCAGGGCTATAATTGTAGAGTTAAAAGTTGGCAAAATGAAAGAGTTATGGAAGAAGAATTTTATAGCTTTTGTTACATCCTCACCAACCACTGACCAGGAGTTTTTGAAGAAGAATGGTGTAAAACCATCATGGCCATGAGCCTTATCATTTCCTTGACTGAAGATAACATTTTTAATCTCCTCAACAGTGATGTATTTTTCTAAATCTGCTATAGCTTCATAAGGAAGATTTAGCTGTAGCAGATTTTTGAGATCTATAGGATCACTGACTTTAACATAGGGATCAACATTACCCAACTATTTTTTGAAGAATTGAATGACTTCAGAAGCCATCTCATCAAATGCCTCAAGTCTACTGCCTTGTTCATTCACAAGAACTCTAATGGTTTCCCTTTTGTTTTTGGAAGCAATGACAGAGTGGAAATATTTAAAACATTTGTCACCCTCCTTGAGCCATTGAATTTTAGCCTTCCGTTTTAAAAACATGTTTCCTGCTGCTTCAAGGGATGAATTCTCACTCTGAATTTTTAACTCAGTATCAATGGAGCTATTTCTTTTGAGGGTTGAGTGTTGAATTTGTTCCAGCTCATCTTTCTTTTGCTTAACCCTTGCAGAAATATTGATGTAGCATTCCTTATTTAAATTCCTCAAGCAATTTTTAAGTCTATTTAGCTTGAGGAAAAGTGACATCATAGGATTTCCTTGAATAGGCTGCTGCCAAGAATTTTAAACTTCAAGAAGAAAGTTAGGATGCTTGGCCCAAAAGTTAAAAAATTTGAAAGGTTTGGGGTGATTTACTTGGGAATCTTTGAAGAGCTAGACAAGGGCCATGCAATGGTCAGAAGGCCTTGGAGCAAGAAATTCCACAAAATAATTTTGAAATGAGTTGACCCAAAAGGAATTAACAAGAACTCTGTCAAGTTTCCTAGCAAGGTAGGATATGACCACCATTCAAGATGGGCGTTACCCTATTGACCAAGATATGATAAAATCATATTTTAATGATGTCTACTAGCATCATTGTTACTTTCAAACATTGACTTGACAACATAATTAATATTTCTAGCAATAACTCGACTTTATAGAATAAAACGGATAGTTGATCCACAAAATACATCTCAAACGATTCTGAGATCAAATTTTATCATATTCAATCAACATGTTAACAGACGATTATCCGTTTTTTAATAGAAAATGATGAGTTCAAACATATAAATAGTTATATGACCATTTTGTAAACTTTTAATAATTAGAATACTAAATAAAACAACGTTTTATAACCTGAGAATCATTTTATAACTTTTAATATTCGAAAGATTCAACAAAATAACATCCTATCAAAGGATAATTTGTGTATTTTTCCTTTCTGGCTATCATTAATGTTGAAAACATTTTGATGTTTCGATATAACAAATTAAATTAAAAGAATTTTAATTTTGAAAAAGATTTTTCTAAGCACATTCGATATATTAATCGAATATCAAAATATTACTCAAAGTATTTCAAAGTTTATTTTAAATCCTTACTAAAGTGTAAAATTAAGTTTTAATATTAAAATAATTTTAAAACAAATTTACAAAGTATTTCGAACCATTTCAAAGCAAAAAATTACAGTTTGTCCAGAGGGAACCGATTCCCCCTGAATGGTTTGGCTCCAAGAATTCCAGTATGCTCGGAGGGAACCGATTCCTCCCAGGGGTATCGATTCCCCCTACTGCTCAACGATTGAAATATTTGAATTTTACACTTAGGGAACCAATTCCCCCCACGCTCCAATCTGTTTTATTAAATGATTTCACACTTAAACGGCTCTATTATCTCCACTAATCATCCCCAACGTTCATAAGTGATTCAAGGTGTATTTAAACAAGTTCTGAAGCCTTTGATCAACAAGAAATCATAGAGAAACAAGAGAGAAAGCATCAAATACCAAGTTTGTGCAAATCAAGCCAATTTTCCTTTCAATATTCATTTTGCTTTCAAGAACACCATTTGTGCTCATTTGTAATTATTTTTTAGTGTTCTTTTCTTGTTCTAGAATTGTGCAAACAATCTACCTTGTGAGGATTTCCTTGTAAGTTTGCAAATTTGTATTGTTCTCTTTGGGAGAGAGTGTTCTCAAGAATTTGGGGTATAATTCTTGAGGGTTTGTAAGATTACTCTTTGTCCTCAAAAGAAAGACAAATTAGTGAATTTGTGAAAAATCCTTAGTGTGGATAGCTAAGTTAGTGGACGTAGACTTTGGTTGATAAAGTCGAACCACTCTAAATCGCTGTGCAACTACTTTCAATTTTCTGCAAAAGCTTCCACAAAATTTTAATTGCCAATTCACCCCCCTCTTGGTCGATTTCGTCAATCGATTAACTCAACAATTGGCATCAGAGCCTAACTCATTTGAAGGTTTAATCATCTCTTGAGTTGATACGGGAAGAGTTATATCGATAATCAAAGTCATCAATGGCCTCTACTTCAAACTTCGACTCCGGTCTCGATTCGATGCCCGTCAACAAGCCTCCTATCTTTATTGGGGATAACTATGCCTATTGGAAAAATAGGATGATGTACTTCATTCAAGCAAGTGACATGGGAGCATGGAATGTCGTAGAAGAATGATACATCAAGCCTCTCACTCATCCAAGATTGTGGAGTGAATGAGAGACAAAAATGTTCCAGCTCATCTCCAAAGCCATCCATATCATATTTTGTGCTCTTAGGCCAGATGAATACGGAAGAGTTTCATCTTGTACAACCACCAAAGAAATATAGGACAAACTTCAAGTCACTCATGAAGGTACCAATGAGGTAAAGAAATCTAAAATTAGTATTCTAACGCATAGCTATGAAAATTTCAAGATGAAACCAAATGAAGATATCAAAGCTATGACGGATAGATTCTCAACGATTGTCAATGGTCTCAAATCATATGGAGAGATCATTTCAAATGAAAAGTTTGTGAGGAAGTTAGTTTACTCCATTCCAAAATCATGGAAATCAAAGAAGACGACAATCATCGAGTCTAAGGACCTAACGTCCTTAACTCTTGAAGAGCTAATCGGTTCACTCCTCACTCATGAAATGATGCTTGAAGATGAGGTGGACCTCGATAAGATTGAAGAGACACCAAAGGAGAAGGAGAAGAAGAAAAACATTGGAGTTGCTCTCAAATCCACAAAAGATGAGAGTGATTCGGATGAAGATGACGATGATGAGAAAATGACATTGTTTGCCAAACGGTTTAGAAAAATAATGAGACCTTACCGAGGAAGAAAATTCAAACGAAATGAAGGCCTCAAAAATGAACCAAAAGAGAAGGACCCAATCATTTGCTATGAATGCAAAAAGTCGGGGCATGTCAAATATGATTGCCCACAATTGAAGATAAAAGGTCAATCAAAGAATAAACACAAGGCTCATGTGGCTACATGGAGCGATGAAGAAGGTTCCGATGAAGAGGAACAAGAAGTAGCAAACTTGTGCTTGATGGCATTCGGGGAAGATTCTAAGGTAACCTCTAACTCATCTGATTTTGATGATTTATCCTATGATGAGTTATTAGAGGAATATAATGGGTTGGCTTTGGATTATGAGAAATTTTTTTTAAAATATAAAAATGATATTTCAAAATTGAAAAATGAAAATAAACTCATATTCAAAACCAACAACGATCTTGAAAGTAAAATCAAAGATTTGCAAATCAAACTAGAAGGTTTGAAAAGAAAATTTTGGATTTGCAAAATTTACTTTCAAAGGTCAATGATGATCATCAAAAGAAAATTGATGATCTTAAAGCTTCTTTTGATAAAGTTGGAACAAAATGTTTTGAAAATGGAGAAAATTCAAAATCCAACTTTGTTAGAAAAAGTTTTAAAAACTACAATCATAGAGGTCCCCAAAGAACCTCTAATGAAAAAATCGTTAGAAGTATGTGGGTTCCTAAAGAGCTCATTACTACTAAAGATAAGGATATCATACACAAATGGATACCTAAGGGGACTAGGATTTTGGAAACTAATGAATATGGACCCAAAAGAATTTGGGTACCAAAAATCAAAAATTAATCTATGTTTGTAGGAAAATGAGCATTACTACAAGGCACGGGAAACAAATCTAAATTCATGGTACCTTGATAGTGGATGCTCGAGACACATGACCGGGGACAAAAACCAGTTCATAGAGATTAATGCCAAAAATGGAGGAGAAGTGACTTTTGGTGATGATTCAAAAGGTCACATTGAAGGTATATGTACAATAGGTAATACCTCTTCCATACAAATTAAAAATGTGTTATATGTGAATGGATTAAAGCATAATCTCTTGAGTATTAGTCAATTATGTGATAAGGGATTCAATGCATATTTGAAACTAATGGTTGTAAAGTCATTGACATTGCATCTAATAGGATTATGCTTGTTGGTTATAGAATAGGGAATATATACATGGTGCATTTAGACTCTATAGAAATAACTAATTTATGCTTAGTTGCAAAGGATGAGCATGATAGTTGGTTATGGCATAGGAGACTAGGACATGCTAGCATGAGTGTTTTGCAACGGTTAGTTCAAGGAGAATTGGTTCGAGGGCTGTCTAAACTTAAATTTGATAATGATAAAATCTGTGATGCTTGTGCTAAAGGAAAACAAAAACGAGTTTCTTTTAAATCCATTAATGATGTGTCAACTAGTAGAGTATTACAATTGATCCATATAGATCTTTTTGGGCCAACTAGGACTACTAGCTTGGGTGGAAAACAATATGCATTTGTCTTGATAGATGACTATTCTAGATATACTTGGGTTCTATTCTTAAGTACTAAAGATGAAGCATTAGAAAATTTCATCACATTTTCAAAAGTAATCCAAAATGAAAAAGGTTACTCTATCACTAGTGTCAGAAGTGATCATGGCACTGAATTTGAAAATCTTGGATTTAATGAGTTTTTTAATTCTAATGGTATTAGCCATAATTTTTCAGCACCTATAACCCTCAACAAAATGGAGTTGTTGAGAGGAAAAATCGAACTTTAGAAGAAATGGCTAGAACCATGCTTTGTGAAAATAATTTGCCAAAATATTTTTGGGCGGAAGCCAAAAATACCGCTTGTTATGTTGTAACTAGAGTAATGATTAAGCCAATTTTAAAGAAAACTCCATATGAAAATTTCAAAAATAAAAAGCCTAACATTAGCTATTTTCATCCTTTTGGATATAAATGTTTTGTTTTAAACAACGGTAAAGAAAACCTTGGCAAATTTGATGCTAAAAGTGATGAAGGAATTTTTATGGGTTATTCCTTAAATTCTAAAGCTTATCGAGTATTTAATAAAATAACTTTGGTTGTAGAAGAGTCTATACATGTTGTTTTTGATGATAATCTCCTTCCGAGGAAGGATTCTTGTTTGAATGATGATGTAGGTATTATTAATACAAATAACGTTAGACATGACATTGGAGAATCATCATCAAAGGAAGAAACGAAAGATGAGGAAACTCATGATCCTCTTGAGAATCCAACCATTGAAGAAAGGGAAGTATCTTATCCAAGAGAGTAAGACTATGTCAAGGATGGTGAGATTATAGGTGATTCATCCAAAGGGGTAACAACTCGATCTTCTCTTAGAAATATTTGTAATTATGTTGCATTTATTTCATGCATAGAGCCTAAGAATATTAAAGAAGCATTAAATGATGAAC